TATAGGAATTCTATTTTTATAGGAATTCGATACAACAACATGGCTGAACAATTACCACCGTTAATAGGCGCTAATGGATTTTGTTTGGGACAAAAGGCAAGCAAACAAACCTAATGACACACAATTTATAGAACACCTCAAGACAGGTAGAGTGCAGTGGATATTCCGGAGCGCCAGTTCGGGCAAAAGGTAGATGCATTATTATACAGGGTGTTACAAAAACACAAATATAGCTTGAAGGGCGTTGAAGTACATCATATAAGGAGTTTTCTTTAATTTTCTTAAAATATTTGCATAAAGTTTTAACTGTTAGTAAAAACAGTTATTTTTAATGATCCTCGAACTAGTGACGTGTCTTAAAATGATCGATATTTTATTAAAAAAAATAGTTCGAGGATCGTTAAAAATAACTGTTTTTATAAAAAGTTAAAACTTTAAGCAAATATTTTAAGAAAATTAAAGAAAACTCCTCATATGATGTACTTCAACGCCCTTCAAGCTATATTTGTGTTTTTGTAACACCCTGTATAATAATGCATCTACCTTTTGCCCGAACGGGCGCTCCGGAATATCCACTGCACTCTACCTGTCTTGAGGTGTTCTATAAATTGTGTGTCATTAGGTTTGTTTGCTTGCCTTTTGTCCCAAACAAAATCCATTAGCGCCTATTAACGGTGGTAATTGTTCAGCCATGTTGTTGTATCGAATTCCTATAAAAATAGAATTCCTATATTACAGACAGACCTAGAACAGTGTTTCCTAACCTTTTCAATACTGCTACCCCTATAACCTATTAGGAAAACAGATTTTACCCCGACTTTAAAATGTTATCATCAGTCCAAGAAATTCCAATTTGGCCGCTATCTTTGTCTCTAATAATGTCATCATCAGGAGAAAATCTCACCCCGCTTCCCACACTGAGCACCCCGCGGGCTCACTAGCAAGAAGGAGTGCATGCTCTATTTAGTAGTATTAGATAGATAGATAGATAAATTCTTTATTGCACACACACAAAAGAATACAAAAATAAGGAAACAATAACATAATGTGGGCAAAGGCGGCCTTATCGCTTTAAGCGATCTCTTCCAGACAACCTTTGTGGTAAAGGAAACCTAAATGAAGAGGAAGTTGTAGTATGCCAGCAAGATAAAATAAAGAAATGTACATATTTTCTTAAACATATAAAGACTATATACAAATAAATAACATATACCTACACAAATAAATATATTATGCAATATTATATATTTATAGATACAGCAGACTAGGATTTAATTAAAAGAAAATCATGTAGTATATTTTTAAAAATGTTAAATGATTTAGCGTGACGGATCTCAGGCGGAAGCTTGTTCCAAAGCTGTGCAGCTTTAATCGTAAAGGAGTCCATATAATACTCAGAGCGGGTGAGAGGTATCTCTAACACATTATCGTATTATTATTTAGATTTGACCAAATAATTAGGTTCTTTGGTACCCCCGAAGTATGGCTGATTTACCCCCGGAGAGTAATTACCCCCAGGTTCGGAACCTAGGACCTAGAAGCTCTGTTTGCTATGGAGGACGTCGTCATTATTGCCGGCGACCTCGATAGCAAACACGAGCAGTGGAGTTGTAACACAACCAACCGTAATGGCAGGTTGTTTTCCAACTTCTCTGACACTGTGTTTTAAATCATAGTGCCCCTCAGACATAACCCACCCAGACATGACCTTACTAAAGGACGTAGAACCTGGTAACAATAAAAGCAAAGGGAATAAGGGAATATGGATCGATTTTAATGTTTTTAGGGTTCTGTACTTAAAAAGGGAATAAAAACAAAGTCCTTTTAAATAATAATAAAATAAATAAAAATTCTAAGCAAGAAGCTAGAAGGTAGCTCGACAAATTAAATAAAAGTTTGATTCTGACGACGTAGCCTGTAAAGGCTACGAAACGAAACGTCAATAAATAAATAAAGTTTCATGCATTAACCCGTAAAAACTAGTTTTATTTAATGAGTGATGCGCGTGAAAACCTAAGAAACAAATAATATAAATATTTCCAACACTCACACCAATTAGCCTAGCCCCAAAGTAAGCACTGTAAAGCTTGTATCGCATAATAAGTATCCCATAATACTAGGGTAACAGATAGAATACATATACTGTACTTAAATAAGCATATTTATATAGAAAATACATATTGAACATCCATGACTAGAGTACAAATGCTCGTATTCATCACACAAACATCTGCCCCTACCGGGATTCGAACCCGGGACCTTTCGAGTCGGCGACGCCATGAAACCCGGCGTACAAACCACGGAGGTCGTCTTATATTTTATAGGATTACTTTTTTGTCTGTCTGTCTGACTGTCCTACCTCCTTGCATTCCCAGCATCTTGACAGACAGGCAGACGGACAACAAAGTGATCCTGGGAATACTTGGAGGTAAAGTTAAAATTAAAACCATATACTCAAGTCTAGTGTAGTTTCATCTAAAGGGAAGTGGGCGTGGCTGAAAACCAGCGCTGCCCGAGACATTCTGTAACGAAGCAGTTTATGCTGAGCCACATACATTTGCTCTTCACGTTGTCATATCGCATTGTACTATGTTTTGAACTATGTATTACTGAGAGAGCAATAAAAATATCTCTTATCTATTAGACAAGTCCGTCTGTGGTGCTGTTTCAGCGGCCAAACCGTAAGAGATAGATAAAGAGAATATTTAAGTTATAAGTTAAGAATAGTCTGATAAGACTACAAACCGGATTTGAGTAACGTAGCACTTCCGGTTTCCGAGAAATCACGAATTTCAAACGAAACCATACAAAATCTCCGAAGTTCTCAATTAATTAAATACATTTTTTTTTAATTAGGTTTTGGTGAATATTTGGTTCACTGGTTTGCTAGTTTTTATTCTAGTCTATTCTATTCCATTATATTCCATTCTATTCCATTCTGTTCTAGTGTTCCTTGAAGCTGTGAAAAATGTAACTTAATAAAAAGTACGGCAGTTTATGTCGCCTACCTACAAATTTATACGGAACCCACGCTAGGCCGATTCAATTCAATTTAATAATTCCAGAACAATAAAATAATTGTTTAGGAAACACATTAAAATTATTAACTAGTATACAAATAAATTAATAACAATACAATAATGGTGGCCTCTTACCTGGTGGGTCATGCGCTTGTTTACCATCCTTTTAATAAAAATAATGGTGTGCACGGACCACATATCTGAAGTGAAACTTATTTTCTTAAATAATTGAAGTATAAAATAAATAATAGCTTGAAGGGCGTTGAAGTACATCATATGAGGAGTTTTCTTTAATTTTCTTAAAATATTTGCTTAAAGTTTTAACTTTTTATAAAAACAGTTATTTTTAACGATCCTCGAACTAGTGATGTTATTTTATTATTAAAAATATCGATATTTTTTTTAATAAAATATCGATCATTTTAAGACACGTCACTAGTTCGAGGATCATTAAAAATAACTGTTTTTATAAAAAGTTAAAACGTCATGCAAATATTTTAAGAAAATTAGAGAAGTCTCTTTATATGATGTACTTTAACGCCGTTCAAGCTTTATTTGTATTTTCGTAACACCCTGTATATAACACAGAAATCCATATAAACACAGCGGCAGGGTTGCCAGATCTCCGGATTTTACATGAGATCTCCTGGTTTTCTGAAAATTCTTCTGTTCTTTTGTTTTTCAACATGAATCTACTGTCTTTCGTAGAATACGATTTTTCTTAAATTGCATGTTGAGTTGCGTTTTCAACCATGAAGAATGTAGGTAACCATAATTATAATACAATAAATATGTTATTGTCATATAAAAAAACGAGCTTTGAGGGGCGGAAGAAGCCACAGAAACACATTCGTTAGTGGCTTCTATCTTGAATTTGACCCCTAGAATGGAGGCGTGGGGGGGTGCAAATCTGACCTGGCAATACTGCACAGCGGCATTAATTTTAAGTATATTCATTTTATCCATTTATTTACTTGCTCTATTTAGGAACAGCGTATTTTGATTGGATATGGCGACATATTTTGGATACCAAAACGCAATTTAACTTTCCATTGAAAGTTTTGTCAATGGCGAATTTTTTCGAAACCAAAATTCACGTAAGTATACGTAAGTGAAATATTTGCTGACGTGTCAAATACTTAACGAACTAGAATTTACATCATCTCCCTGGAACATCATTCCATCCGCTTTTATAACAATAGCTTTAATAAAATTATTCTTATTTTTGATTCGACGAATACCATTTCCGATTTCTGTTTTCAGATCAAATAGCCGTCACAATGGACCTGCGCAGATATAACTTCTTTGCCAATCGTAATTTTTATCGGTACCCTGATATTTTTAACGATCGATCATTAAACTATAAAAAACATTAACAATTAAAACTCTATAATCTGAATAGGTATGATTATGTTAGTATGGAACTCATATCACTGGTATTTTATAAAATTTATGTAAAACTTTTCAGTTTTCCTCTATTGATTTCAGGTAAGTACCTACCTATGTAGGGTAAATACTTACTAATGACCTGTCGACCTTTACGAAAATTGCAATTGACTTATTACGGTGTATTATTACAAAACTGACTTTGAAATCAACTAAGTATTATAATATAACATTTCATGAAGAAAACTCAGAAATAATTAATTATTGTTTTTATAAGTCTATGCCAAAGCAGTTTTGGCTTGATAGATTGTTTGTACACCTTTTGTAAATATTTTAATTTGTATTATTTTATTCATATGAGGTAGTAATGTATTATGAATGAATTATAATATCGTATCAGCGTAATTACAAGCAGTTTTTATTATTTAAAAAGGGGGGCTTTAGAAAAAATGAAAGATCTACTTGCTAGAGGACAGTTCTTCTACTTTTTGCTGCAGTTCGCTTTATACAGGTGATCAACTAGAACGCTAATGAGCGAAGCAGCATCCATTATACTACTCTATTGCGAAACAAGGTAATTTTATTCACACTTACCTCAACAGAGTCCCATTCCCCACACTGCCGGAGCACGGAGGTAGATCTAAAAAAAGGTTTTAACAAATAAAGGACATAAAAGAGGTCCTGTTTTAAATATATCCAAAATGATGTGTTGTTTGGTGCGTGGTGCGCGGGACTGACCCGGGAGGAGTGGGGCGGGGCCGTCTCTATTGATCGGGATGATGCGCAGAATCCCGCTCATCCCGGAGGACCCGCCCGTGCTCTTGGAAGTGGGAGACTGGTGAGGACCACGTCCATTGGTATTTTTATTTTACTTCTTATCACAGTTTAAAGTAAGGAACAAAATGAAAATAGGGCCAAAATTAATAGTATGTTACCCTTAAAAAAATAAGCCTTATTTAAAAATAGAAAATTATTTTACAATTAAGTTCCGATTCATTCCTGTGATATAAATTGCATTGTATTCCCACACTTGTTTTTAAGTAAATTAAATAATTGAAGAATGAGTAATTTGTACATGTAGGTACCTACTATTATACTGTGAGTTTAATTTTCAGTCAATAAAGCAGCAATGTAAAGGTAGACATTAACAGTAGTCGTTTTTCGTCCAGATGTCCCCTCCCTACCGCACCCGACGATACACCTGGATATTTTAAAAACAAAAGAGTTGCCACATTATTTCATTACTTTATGACACTAAATTATTTCTTTCGACTAATTTTTGTATGATTGATGATATTTTTTTTGAGTTCTGAGAGTTCTGTACCCTTAGCACGAACCATTATCGAATTCGAATAGTTTGCGAGTGCGAAATGTCATTGTCAAATGTGTACTGATTTTTATTTCTCGTTACGTACTTTGTGCCGCTGCTATTCAAGTTTCCATACAAAATTTGACATTGACATTTCGGTTTGCAAACTATTCGATTTCGATAATAAGCTAGTTGCCTAAATTTTAAAAAGTGGTTAATCATATACGTTGATGTTTATTTTACCCCAAAAAATATTATTTTAAATATGTATTTTGAATTTTAACAAAAATATTTAATTTTCCCTCTAAAACGCTCATGACTGTCATGGCGTCTTGAATGACGTCACGCCGTGCAAAACAAACAGTATGCTGTACGTTGACTAATAGAATTATTTCATTAAAAATGAATCCATCGTATTTCAAGTACTGTATAGTGCCCCAGTGTAAAAGTACAAGCATAAAACGCCAGACAAATTATTTATATACCTTTTAAACAACTTATAAAAGCAGTAAAAATGGCTAGAACTTGCAAGGAGGGATGGTATTCATTGTTTATCAACAAATAAAATAATGTATTTTTGTGAAGATCTTTTTGATGTAGGTAAGTATTTAGCAAATAAAATAATGTATTTTTGTGAAGATCTTTTTGATGTAGGTAAGTATTTAGCAAATAAAATAATGTATTTTTGTGAAGATCTTTTTGATGTAGGTAAGCATAATCTAGGTAATCTAAATGTTACACAAGCTGGATAAATTATATTGCATTAAATTGATAAATGACAATGACAATAGGTTGAGGTTAGGTAAGTAAATTTAGTTTTATGGCATGATTTAAAGTCAATTTGAGAGTTAAGTATATTTATTCGTATTACTCGTAATAAACACATTTCATATTCTTGTTCTAGTTGCCTAGTAATATGCTAATTATACCAAGTATCATATTAAGGTTTGTTTTTTATTTTGGGTAAACTATTATTATTTGCTTTGGTAATTCCCGATGGCTATACATATTAGGCTATCTTACAATAATTATCTAAGAACAAACTGATAAAGTGTATCAAAGTAACAATCACATGAATGACAAATCAATAAAATCTATGAAAACTCTAACCACAAGTAATGTTTTGCACGGAGTGACGTCAGTCTTTCTGATTGGTGTTTACTATCACGTGACCTTATGCCTATTATTACCGAATTTATTTCATAAAAATAATAATAATCTTTAATTATTATGACAAATAGCTTTATTTTTCGTTATCTGTATATCGTAATTCATATTTAGAAACTGTAAGCCATCCGATTTATTGTTAGTGGACACAAGTGCTAGGGGTACAGTACCCCATCGGGATTCGAACCCGGGACCTCTAGAGTCGGCGACACCATGAAACCCGGCGTACAAACCACTCAGTCACGGATATCGTCAATAAAATATACAATTGCATGTATTGCATACCCTCTTTAGTGAACTAATAGAAATCATTCTTATTATTATATATATTCATTTCCATATTTTATATACTTAGAAATTCATAGCCTAAGTGGAGCCCAAAACAATCCAATTTGCCGGGTTGAGTGAAATTGTATCCTTCAATCCATTTGCATACAAAAATTTGATTGCTGTTTCCCAAGGTAGGGTCGGGAATAGATAATGCAATTCTCAATGGTTAATATGAAACCCTTTTTGACAAGTTACGAAAGCTCTTCGTGTAGTTGGACATTAATCTCTGATCTCGAAGTCTGCGATCGTAGTGGCCAGTGGACAGCAATACGCAGAACACAGAGAGGTTAGCTTAAGCAGCTTAGAGGGTATTCGCAGGGTTTTTTAGCGGATATGATGCTGTAAAGCGCCCGTAAGAGTTGCGGGGTCCTTGGTGGTCAGCCACTGGGGGGTCCATAAGACTTGCGGGAGCCAGGTGTGAGGTACGTTCGGCGGTGTGCCTCTTAAAGGCGCCGTCGTCTGTAAATAGTATTTTTTTGCCTGCGTATAAAAAAAAAATAGGTCTTATGGGCGGGGCAGGCGCGCCACAGTAATGTGTGTACAAATGCTCACAACTTGACAAAAACTTGCTTCTGGGCTGGTGGGTCGACAATCCGCACTGGCCAATCTCCCTATTCCATTCATGGGGAAGGCCTTTGCCCCAGCAGTGGCGACATTAACAGGCTAATGATTATGATGAATGTCTTAAACGAGAATGAATTGTAATGACCACATAATACAGAGAAGGCTAGAAGCGCCTTGTGGGCGGGGCAGGCGCGCCACCGTTATGTGTGAGCAAATTCATAACTTGACCAAAACTTGGTTCTGATTGCATCGTTGCTTCCGGGTGTGAGCACTGATTGGTTCGATTTTTTGATGTCGTATCGTTTGATTGGCTATTATCTATTACGTGGAAGTGTAGTGGGGACGAGCCGGCGACATCGGTTCCCGTGCAAACATTCTATGATCACCCTACTAACCTCTTTCAATGTTCTGTGCGCCAATACATGTTGGCCTAGCTTAACCCAATGCGAGCGTAGGCAAACTGATACAAGAAAAGTGTTACCGTCTAGACGTTGGGCAAATTTGAAGAAGACCAATACAAGTGGCCAATATAGACGAGATTTGTAAGGCTGAGGAGCTCGATGGCGCAGGTGGTTAGCGCGTTAGGCTACGATGGTTGAAGTTAAGCAACTTTCGCAGTGGTCGGTCATTGGATGGGTGACCAAAAATCTTTTATCTCGAGTTTCTCCGTGCTTCGGAAGGCACGTTAAGCCGTTGGTCCCGGCAGCATCTGCAGTCGTTAGCACCCGCCAATCCGCACTGGGCCCGCGTGTTGGGTCCTGGCCCAATCTCCCTGTTCCATCCATAGGGAAGGCCTGTGCCCCAGCGGTGGGGACATTAATAGGCTGATGATGATGATGAAATAAAAAGCGCGTGAAGTATAACTAATAGGCTCTGCGGGTTACAGAGAGAGATGAGAGAGAGAGAGAGAGAGAGAGACAGAGAGAATCATTTTTATTGACCACTTTAATAAATTTACAAAACAACATACAAAAAAAAATAAGAAAATATACATAATGGAGAAAAGAAGTAAAAAATAAAGTACCATTTGTGGTCAATCAGGACCCTGCCTCAGCGTAATGCTGCCGCAACACGCTACAAAACGTGTCACAGCAGCGCTGGTATTCTGGCAGGGCCTGTAATGCCAGAACCTCACATGGCCAATCGCATCCGCCTCAATAGCAGTTCCTTCCTCTCACTGCCCGTTATGGATACATATCTACCAAATAGCAAACACGATTAGCCACATGACGTGCCGGCACAAGGTGCGAAAGAATACACTTAATTCTGCGCTCCGTGATCTGTGGCTGTCACTTGTTAATGTTACTGTTATTGTCGTCACACATACCGCACAAAAACAGTGAAATTGAGTGTACAAACTCAGTAATTGCTCAGCAACTTGAATGGAAAAGGGAAGCAGCTATATAATCCCGTCAGAAACGTGCACCCAAATCACACGATTACCATGAAGAACCCCCGCGGCCGCCTATCACCCGAATAAGTTTGCCTCCAGGTACCGAATCTAATCCCCATAACTTGCTGTCGAGACTGAAAATTGGGTGAGTATCTTTAAATTAATGCGTACATTGCAAATTCAGCAAATGACGTTTTAAGGTAGTCTTCAATGATTGTTTGGATTTCAGATCTCGCATCGGAGGAGGAAGATCATTCCAGCACCTGGAGGTAGCGAACCTGAAGGACCCACGAAAAGCAGCAGTGTGGTGTGTGGGGGTGGAGAAGACTCGAGTGCACCGCCTCTTTTGGTGTTTACTGTCGAGTTGTGCCCATACCAATTTAGCTGACAGATATTGTGGCTTGCCTGTGTGTATGATGCCAAATATTAAGGTAGTGAGGTGCACTCGCCTACACTCTCCATCTTCAGCATGTTAGCTGAATTCAAAAATGAGGTGACATCTGTTCGTGGCGGTATGCCAAAACAGAAGCGTGCGCACGCATTTTGAACACGCTGAATAAGCCGTGCTGTTCTAGCCAGTAAACATGGACCATAGACTGTGTCACAGTAATTGAATTTGGACAGAACCAATGCCTCACATAGTGTTATTCTGAGTTTTTCAGATAGATATTGCCTTATCCTGTACAGCAACTTCAGTCTATAGAAGCAGTTACGTGCGCACTCTACAATATAATTTTCAAAGTTCAACTGGCTATCCAGAGTCAGACCTAGACTCTTTGCTGCATTTACCCTCTCTACAAGCACTCCATCCATTTCAATATTCAGCAGGCTAGTATTGATCTTATTGATGTTGTTTCTAGTACCTGTGAGCAAAAGTTTAGTTTTATGTGGGTTCAGTACTAGACAATTTGAACGACACCATTTTGATATTCTCGTGGCATCTCCATTCACTCTTTCCACAGCCTCAGTGACGTCG